ATATATATATATATATGCTTGTCCTAAACCTTGGGTAGTCCCATAGATCTGTCAATTGTTACCTCAGTCTTGTAAGAGGTAAGCTCTATATTTTTTAAAATGTAATTGTGTGTGAGGGGAGGGGGGAGGGGGAGGATGTTTGTTTATTCGAATGTGCTTGGGTGTGTTCACATACCCAAAGAGTTCAGAAGAGACCACTGAATCCCCAGGAGCTGGAGCTACAGGCTGTTGTGAGCCACCTGACGTGGGTCCTGGGAACTAAACTTGGGTCTTCTGCAAGAGCAATATGTGCTTTTTATCACTAAACCATCTCTCCAGCTCCTAGCTCGGCATTTTTTTATTATACAGTTTTTCCCTGCATAGTGCCCCAGTGCCACGATGCTCACCAGGATCACAACACTCAAAATTGTGCCGTTCACATAGTAGGGGACTTATGGAACTGGGTTCAATTAGGAACAAAATCAGTAGAAAAGGTTTTGACAAGGAATGTGCTCTTGGGAAGTTGGGAACTGACTCTGGTTCCCCTTCCGCTCCCCAGGCCCTGCACTCTCGGTCCAGGGATATCAAAGGGCATAGCAGAGGAGATAGAATTCATTACAGAATAAGACGAAGCACTGTCAAGAGTGAGAGTGCGCGAGGACCAAGCGGCCCACCGCCTCGATTGACATTAGAAAAACAGGTTTTGCGTCACATACATACATTTCTGGTATTTCTGCCGCAGCTTCCTGAGGAGTTTTCTATTCGGGATATTGACAGGTATGTTTGGATTAACCTATAAGAATGGGGGTGATAGTATGTCTTTGACTTTATAATCTTTTAAGCAGTTTAAAATGTCACATCTATCCAGAGCAAGAGATATATCTCAAGTTCCCTTATCAAAAAGTAAATAAATAAATGTGACATGTGACAAAATAAATTCAAAAGAATCTTTTTAACCATATTGGTGAAATATAGGAAACGGCCTTTCCTCGGTGGGCTTCCTCTCTCTCCTGCCTCCCTGTCTGTGGTATTTTAAACTTGGGGAGAAGCAATTGTGTTGCTACCGCCCTCATTTCCGTGGTATTCTGAATCCTAAGGCGGGCCACTGTGGGCCTCGGCCCTAAAGCTGCTTCCAGGGGAACGGGGGCGCGGCTGACCGGGCCGGGCCGTCCTCGGTGGCCCGCGGCCTGACGACGGTGTGACCCGTCCCGGAGGCCGCAGCTCGGCAGCACTCACACGGCGGGAGCCACTCACGGGCCCCGGATGCTGCTACAGCTGCTCCGCTCCGGCTCCCAGCGCACCCTCCCGGGAAGCTTGGCGGACACGCCCCAGGCTCGGCCAGCCCCGGAACTGGCCAGTCACACCGTCGCTCCGCGGCGCGGCAGGCTACGCGCACTTCCGGTCTCTTTCTGGCGCCGCCATCTTGCTTCCGGCTCTCCGGCCGCCGCCTCTGTTCTTGCTCGCCTGTGCGGAGATCCCTAGGGAGGCGGACCCGGGCGCCCAGGTGAGTACCGTCCCGGGCCGAGAACCCGCTAGAACTGGCTGGCGCTGGTCCTCGTGCCCTTCGGTGGTGCGGTGTGCAGATGCTGCGGGGCTCGAGGCGCCTGTGCGGGGCTCAGCTGTGCGCTCTGTCACCATCGGTCCCGGCAGTGCTGGAGACTCCAGGGTCTGTCCTCACCGCCTCCCTCTTCCGGTCCTGACCCAGCTGCTGTGTGTGTGACGTCACCTGTCTGCCATGGTGTCTATGATGTCACCTGTCTGTCTGGTGTCTAGGATGTCACCTTCCTGTGTGGTGTCAAGCATGTCTCTTGGTCTAGGATGTCACCTGTCTGCTGTCTGGGATGTCACCTGTGTATCCTGGTGTCTAGGATGTCACCTGTCTGGCGTCCTGGTGTCTAGGATGCCACCTGTCTTGTGTCTAGGATGTCATCTGTCTGGTGTGGTGGTGTCTAGGATGTCACTTGTCTGTCTGATGTCTAGGATGTCACCTGTCTGTCTGGTGTCTGGGATGTCACGTGTCTGGTATCTAGGATGTCACCTGTCTGGTGTCTGGGATGTCACCTGTGTGGTGTGCTGGTGTCTAGGATGTCACCCAGGTCCTGTGTGGAGCATCCTGAGGTGTGGGGTGAGGTGTGAGGAGTGTCGGAGCCCCGGGCTGAGGCGTGTCCTGACCTCCCTTCATTGTGAAGCCTCTCCACTATTTCTGTGTGTCGACCTCTGTCCGTAGTGCACTGTATGTAGTTCTACACACTTGTCCTGGGGAAACTTGAACAAAAGTGTTATTCACCTCAAGGCACTTAGGAAAGACCAAAGTAAGGAGTCCCACCAGTTTGAACCAATAAATTTATTGGGCTTACAGAGTGTGGGTGACCCCAAACAGCATCACCACCAAGCCCCACCCCATCATGGGGATGGCCTTTGGCGGCTTTCTCATTGAGCCCCACTTCCAGTCAGGTTTCCATTTTCTGTGTATTCTAGCATACTCCCCTTAGCTTCTAAGGAGGGTAAGGCCCAGTAGGCAGTAATGTTTGCAATTCCAGGAAAGGAGCCCTGTGACCCTCCTCCACTCCTTCAGCTGTGCAGTATCAATGGCTGCATTGCCATTACCATAGCCGTCCCGATCCGGGTATCGTTTGGCTTATTTCAGTCTCATGGCCCTGGTCAATCTCTGTTCCAAGATGGGAACTAGATGATGATTACACCCAGAGGAGAAAGGTGGAGTACAGTAGTGAAGTGCAGCAATTTTGAACAGTGCGATCAGTTCTTGTTGGGAACATTTGTGATTCCTGAATCCTGTGGTAACTATACTTTTAGATTTTTTTTAAAGATCCTTGATGTTTTTTAAAGTAAGTCTGTAAGCAAGGTTTGGTAACAGAGAACTAGAATCCCACCAAGTTCCCATGAAAAATATCATTTGAAACTACCGTTGTCACACTGAGGCTCTGCTGGCCACAGCTCGTGAAATGGCAAAGTTCCAGGTCACTGTGGGAGAGAGCGACGAGACGGTGTGGATGCAGGGAGATTATGGTGCAGTGGTCCTGTGGAAGCGCTACAGTGAACACTGTTCATTTTGCCTATACAGCTTTGGAACAAAGGGTTTAGATTGCACAAAGCATGCTTCTTACAAGATTTAAATATGTGTTGTGGGTAGAGTCCTGTTGTATTTGGTACATCTGTATTGACAGGAAACTAAATATTGCCCACATATTTTTCTATAATTTAATTTCTATAAGTGCATAATGGTCATTAAACATCCATCCTCAAAACATTGCATTATTCATAATATAGTTGCTAAGCAAATAGCAAATATTGTCATTAACCTGTGAATAAATTATGTCTACTCTCCACCAATTAAAAAAATTGTTGTTCTTTCAACCAGATCTGTCCTGCCACTTCTCAAGTGTAATAGACAGTTTCCACAGGGGGAGGCTTGTTTTTCGGTTGGTTTTCTAGCTTTTTTCCCTCCAAAACTGTGTAGAAACCTTTGCACACTAGAATCCACAAGGCATGTAGAAGGCCTGTTGACTTCTGTTCGCCTTCTTTTCCAGCTGTGATTGCAAGGTGCTCTACATGCCTCAGAGGGTTAGGAAAATGAACACAGCTGTGGTAAGTGGTGTAGTTATGCCTTACCTTGTTTTACGTTGTATTTTAAGAGACTTGTGAGAGTTCCTTCATTAAAATTGAAATGGAAAAATAAAGATTAGAGAACTATACACAGCCATAATAATCAGTGTTTTGACATAACCACATCATAAGTCCTTAGAGTCATTTAAACCATGTGCAAGGTGGCTTCAGGTTTTTCTGAAGCTATACTACAGAGGCCTATTTGTTGTTCTCCTTGGATTGACCCTGGGAAGAGAGCACCATCAATTCTCATGGCCTGTAACATCTAAACAGGCTCCGTGGATACATGGCATGATAATGTAGGCAATGGTTTACTCCCATCCCAGAGATAAGCACCACATTCAGCAGTGTCCAGAGTTCTCTAATGCTGAAATAGATCAGTCCAAAAGAATTTCCATACTTGCTAAAATCAGGTAGTTCCAGACAGCTTTTGGAAGATCAAACTTAATACGTGATAAGAATTTCCACGTGAAAATCATCAGTAGTTTCAAATATGGCAGAAGATTTAAGTAAGGCAGAGAATATTTAGTGTTTGGTTGTAATTTAAAATCCTAACGAAATGTGGAGAAGTTGATTTCGTGTGGAAATTCTTGCATTTTCAATTTTTTAATTTTTATTTTTATTTTACATGTATTAGTATATTGCCTGCATGTGTATAAGCTCACCCATGTTATGCACTGCCCACAGAGAGCAGAAGAGGGTGTCAGATTCCCCTGGAACTGGAGTTACGAGTGGTTGAAACTGCCATGTGGGTGCTGGGAATCGAATCCAGGTCCTCTGCAAGAGCAGTCAGTGCCCTTAACCACTATCTCTCCAGCCCGCATTTCAATTTTTTTTTTTTTTTTTGGTGTGTGTAGGGGTGTGTGTATATAGACCTGAAGTTGGTAGATGTCTTCCTTGATTACACTCTATTTATTGAGGAGTTCTCTAGGGTCTCACTGAACCCGGAGTTTGCCAGTTCTGGCTAGTCTAGCTAGTGGATGCTCTGGGATCATTTGTCTCTGCCTCCTGAGTGCTAGGATTACAGGCTGCCGCCATGCCTGCCTAATTTTTATGTGGTTTCTGTGGATCTGGACTCTGCTCTAAACACTGCAAAGGTTTGATCCACTGAACTGTCTCCTCAGCTCCCCATTTGTTTCTGTTTCTGTCGCACCTCTGGTGTGTCCCTTGTCCCTCATAACAAGATTATTTCTGTGTGCACTTTGTCCCCTTACATTCCACTGTAGACGTCTGTGCTTCAGCATGCTGTGATTTCACTTTCCTACTTCTCTGTAGCTTGTAGCGTTGGCTCAGCTTTCAGATCACAAATTCAGCTCCTATATAGCTGTGTACAGGTACCTCAAGCTCTCCTGTCAATGAAAGTCGCATCCTCCATTCTTCCCTAGATATGTATTGTTACCAGTCTACTGGGTGGCCTTAACCAAGAAATTAGATAAGAATCTGTAAGACTGAAGGACTTCCCATGCTCGTGACTGACCATGAAATTCTATAGATATGTGTATATGCTTAAATATATATGTACACACATACACACACACATACATATATGTGTGTATTCGGTTTTGGTTTTTTTGAGGCAAGATCTCATGTTTTCCGTGGCCTTGAACTGGTCAGTTAGCCGAGGATGACCTTAGATCTTCTTATTCTCACTGCTCTAGTCCTAGGATCACAGGCATATAACACCATGCCTGGCTGAAATATATTAGTAAATTATGTAGTATTGAAATTTTCTGTTTTCCCAGAGTAAATGTTAGTCTTTTGCAGTTCCTGGGTTCCTGTCTCCTCCCCAGCCCCTGAACATTAGTATAGTTCAAATTCTCCGTGTATTGTCCAAAGCTTGAAAGCCATTTCAGTCAGTTGGATGAAGTTGGTACCACTGAAATTTCTAATTCTTTTGTGTTCTTTGTAGAATTTTGTTGTGAGTTCTGTTTCTCCAGTTGCCTGTTAGACACTCACACATTTGATGACAGAGACTTCAGACAGGTTTGTCTGAGATCAGCTGTGGCTCTTCCTGTCGCGGTGCTTGTCACATAGCCCAGCTTCAGTTTATGGTGTCAGTTCACATGCACCTGTTTACGTAGACAGCTTGGAAGTAAACTCCCATTTTACCTTAAGCAGACAGAGCTAATCAGTACAAATTCTATTCGTTTTTATTTTCCTGCTCTCCCTGTGTTTTCTTTCTGTGGTGACATCTCAATCCCCTGTTCTTTGTCTGTGATCTTTGTTTTGTTTTGAGATGGGTCCTGCTACACAGACCTGCTTCAGCCTTCAGGTGGTGGATCCCAGGCTTTACCGTGTGTCTGGCTCTGATTCTGTGTTCTTACTGCTCTGTTTCCTGGTGTGTGGAGATTGTGAGGCATTTTGCCCCTCTTCCGCCTCAAGCCCGTCCCCATTCTCCTTTCATGGGACAACTTTCAAAAGGCCAATTTGTTTTGTTTTTTTTCCCCCAAGACCCAGACTATAATTCCATGATGGAGTGTTTTAGTTGGTTGGTTCTTTATTTTTTGTTTGTTTGGTTGGTTGTTTTGGTTTGGTCTGGGATTTTTGGAGCCAGGGTCTCATTGTATAGCCCTGGCTGACCTGGAACTCACTATGTAAACAAGGCTGGCCTGGTGCTCAAAAAAGTTTCCTCTGCCTCCTGAGTGCTGGATTAAAAGTGTGTGCACCACGCCCAGCCTGGTTGGTTTTTTGTTTTTTAATTTATATTTATTTATATTTTATGTGCATGCATGCAAAGCATGCATGCAATTGCACCACATGCACACAATGCTTCCAGAGGCCAGAAAAGGGCATAGGAACACCTGAAACTGGAGTTACAGATGGTTGTTAGCCACCATGTGGGTGCTGAACCACGTCCTCTGCAAGAGCAGCCAGCGCTCTTAGCTGCTGAGCCATCTCTCCAGGCCCTGTTTTTATTATGTTTTAAGTAACCAGTTTTCTCTGCTTTTAGGACATTAGTTATTGGTTTGTTTCTTTGTGGGTTCTAGCAGTTTGTTTGGTTTAGGGAGGACATGTAAGGGTGCTGTGGGTCTGCGTCAGTTTATAAGTGTATTATGGGTAACACTGACGACTTAAAATTTCAGGGGCGGAAAACCAAAGGTTCATCGGTTACTTACTCATGTTTTCTCCCTTTGTCACTTAGCACCAAGCTAGCACATAGGCTAGGCATTTTGCAGCTTGTTTTCCTTGTATGATAAGAAAGCCCATAAACTGCATCTTATGTAAGACACACTCACATAGAGGAGGGAACTCCTGCACACTGTCTCTAACCCAAGGCTGGGCTTGGGCTGAGGAGAAATGTCTCGTTTCAGGAGTTGGTGTCGTTTGAGGATGTGTCTGTGGACTTCAGCTGGGAGGAGTGGCAGGACCTGGATGATGCTCAGAGGACGCTGTACAGGGACGTGATGCTGGAGACCTACAGCAGCCTGGTGTCCTTGGGTAAGTCTTCAATGTCCAATTGGAAGCAGAATCCTTATTGGTAAATCCAGAGCCTCTTCCAAGAGTATTTGTTTTCCTGTGCTGGTGTCTGAACCTAGAACCTAGAACATGCTTGGTAAGCTCCCTACCCCTGAACTTGATCTCCAGCTCATTTAGTTTCTAACTGACACATAGTAATTGTGCATATTTATAGAGAATGGTGTCATTTCAATCCTTGTGTGATGTACATAATGATCAGTAATTTGCAAGTTAAGGAGCTTAGATGCAGCATTTCTTTTTATTGAGAGTTTTTGCAATGCTTCCTATTATTTTCAGGCCATTGTTCCCACTTACTCGCTTTTCTATGCTGTACAGTAGTGGCAGTGGTGTCTCCTGTCTGCCTGTACCCCTGCGCCTGTTAACCATCTCCTTTCCAGCCTTTCCTCCCACACACCCTTCTTAGGCTCTGGTAACCAGACCTTCTTTCTGTTGCTTTAGGTTAACATCAGCTTCTAATTGTGAATATGAAGCGTCTCTTTGTGCTTGACTTCACTTAACACAACTGTCCTTCAGTTTTACCTGTGCTCCTATGAGGAAACATTCAGGACCTTTTAGTAGCTGGCTGATGCCGTCCTGTCAGTGTTTACCACATCCTCTTACTCCATCTGTGGATGGATTCCTAGGTGGGCTCCCTATCTGTCTTCTGTACATGGTGCTGCTGTAAATCTGCATACTCCGCTGAGGCGGATTTCCTGGGAATGGGTCTGCATTCCCGGGTTTTCTAGAACTGTGTGGTGGGATGCAGCTTGTCAGCCTGGCAGGGCAAGTGCTCTTTCCTGCTGAGACATCTTGCTGGGTCTGGGCCTGGGTTTTGTTAGCCGTTTTTGTCAGCCCATACCTTCAGCTGAGAATACAGTCCCTTTACGTTGACAGTTAACGTTCTTGCCAAAGCCTGTTGTCTAGGTTTGGTGTTGCGGTGTGTTTCTTCACAGTCTCTGTTCTTCCTCCTTTTCCTATAAATCCTTGTTGTTTGGTAAATTCCTCTGCAGATGGGGTCACTTCTCTTCAGTTTCTCTTCTGTGCATCTGCGCTGTACTTGAGTTTTGTCAGTTTGTGCGTTTTCATCAGTGTCCTTCGGTTTGTAGTGTGATGCTCCTGTCATTTCCTGTTAGGGCATCTGAGGGTAATGGTTGCTACCATTTGTTGCTTATATTTGAAAGCCTTTATTTCTCTTTCATTTCAAAAGCTTTAATGTGACTCTAATGGGCGTTTAATAAGTAATGCAATGTTTTTCTCTTGCCTATCAAAAAATTTATTATTTTAATTTTCCCTTTAAAAATAATTACGTAAGCTCTCCCTTGGTGGGTCAGTCTTCGTGAACATTCCAAGGTCCTACGTTAGTTTCCCGGCACTGGGAAGATAAGCTTGTGCCCCTGGCTGGCTTTCTAGGTGGTTCAGAGCCCTGACCTTCTTTTGTTCTTTTCACGTTTCGATTGTATTACTCCTTGGATATTGAATGTTTTTGTTTGAATCTATTAGGTGTACCTAAAACTTCCTGTACCTGAACATTTATAACTTCCATTTTTCAGAGTTTTCGTCAATCTTGTCATTGAGTCAGTTTTTGTAGATGTCTGTCCCTTTCTTCTCTGCCCAACCCTCCATAATGTGGGTGCTGTCTTGTTAGGGTCTGTGTCCCAGATCCTAACGTTTATTTTCCTTTTACTTCAAAACACCTGGCTTCACCCTCATGCATTCTTTCTTCTGCCTGATCATTTTCACTTTTGAAACTTCCAACTGAATTGTTTAAGATTTTTGTTGAAGATATTCTTCCTCTCCATGAGTTGATTGGTCCTGTCTTTTCTTTGCGGGCTTTTTCACTGCGCCATGAACTGTATTTCTGACTGCCGCATGTTGTCTCTATTCTCTTTTATTGCCTTACGTTTCCTTTAAAAATTGTTAAGTACATGATTCAATCCATGAAGAACACAAATGTAAGTTTTCTCATAAAGTGTTCATGTTGGTCCAATCATTGCTGGGAGTCTGAAACCAATATTTTGTCATTTGGGGGGCAAAACTTACATATTATTTTCTGTTACTAGATCAGTGCAGTACCAAACCTGAGTTGATCCTGAGGTTGGAGCAAGAAGCTGGGCCATGGAAGGCAGGAGAGGCCCCATACCCGAACCTGCCAGGTCAGTGACTGTGTCCAGGGCAGGGAGGCAGGTTGTTGAGCACTCACCACACATGTCCCCCTCCCGTGGCCCTTCCTTTCCCCCACTTATCTTCTGAGGTTCATCAGATTCTATTCAGTGTGTGGCTCTTGGGCCTTCTGTTCGCTGACTTACTCCAAATTCTCATTGTACATTGCTCGTCGTCTTTATATGACGCCTCATTTTAAGCATTTATTCATATTTTTATCTGACTCCTCATAGTCTGTTATCGTGTGACCAGCAGTGGTGATCCCACAGGCTCACCTTGCTGTGTTCAGTCAGAGAAATATTTGGCACTGAAAGAATATCCCCAAAAATATGTTTTCTTAACTGGATGAATGAAAGAAAAACACAGGCCAGTTCTAAGGCAAATGCAGTTTTAACGAGTTTGGTTTGTTTTTTGTTGTTTTTTAACTAATATTAATTTGAAGACTGTTGTTTTCCAAAGTCGGTATGTGTTGCACTAAATTTTTTTCCCCTTTCCCTTCTTGGGAAGCTTGCTCACATGCCCTCTGAGGCCCCAGGGCTCACAGACTAGCATAAGACATTTTTAGTTTGGGGTTTGTACAGTTATGACATTTGGGAGGGCGTGACCAACAGAGAAATGGCTTCTTGTGACCCACACATCAATCAAGCCTTCCATTAGCGTTGGTCCACACCCCCCGTGGACCACCCCACGGTCTCAGTGTCTCATCTCGCCCTCCACACCGTTTGCTCCCAAGTTCCAAAAATGGCCGCCAGGCTAACCCTCCATCTGGCCACTCCTCATCTCACAGCAGCTGGGTGACTGCTCCACAGCAGCTTGGCTCCACCCCTCCCCTGTGGTGCCCACTCTCACCCATGCTCCCCCACACTTTTCAGAGGAATGAGTAATTTCCAGGCTACAGTATGTAATTCATAGGTATAAGTAGATACACTAGTTTCAGAGTGGTATGTATTATTTTATTAGAGATTCAATTTGATATAGTAGGTCTAGGTTAATATTGAAAACAGTTTTCAGGCACGTATATGGAATTCGAATATGGGAAAAGATGTCTAAAATCAAATAGCACGTGCCAAGATATCAGAAAACTTATTACAAAACTTGAGGAGCACCTTGCAGAGACACATGAATAAGGCAGGGCAGAGTGTGGTGGGACAGCCAGGAGATCTTAGACATGGAGGCCAGCTGGACCAAGGCTCTGCTGTTGAAGAGATTGTCACATCTAGCTAGCCTTCTACCTTTCTCATTGTGGAAATTACTCTTAAATCAACAGATGCAATAAATTTGTACAGGGCACTCCATTTGCTATGAAATTTTAACCCAGTGGCAGCTCCAAAGTACAAATAAAGCATGAAGAAGAATGAATTTATAAGTCAAGGTATAGATTCCCAGAGCTAGTGTAGAAATGCCTGAGTTGTTGATCTCAGAAGTTGGAAGGGGAAAAAAAAAATCAATCCATAATTTCAATATTGTGGGACTAGCTTGGTATCCAGAACCAGATCCTTGAGTGCAGATAGGACTACAGATATTCTCTCTCTCTCGCTCTCTCGCTCTCACTCTCTCCTCTCTGCAGTCTGAATTAACCATAACACTCTCTCTCTTTCTCTCTCTCTCTCTCTCTCTCTCTCTCTCTCTGTGTGTGTGTGTGTGTGTGTGTGTGTGTGTGTGTTATGGTCAATTCAGATTGTGTAGAACTGTGGAAGCAGCTATAGGAAAGAAGATAATTTGTATTTGCAAAATCCTGTAGGTGTCTCCTTTAGTTCCCCAGGAAAGTGTAAGACCTAAGCATGTATGCATACCAATGCATTCTGCAACTTCCATTCCTAGTTAAGTCACAAACAAATGGATTACTCCCAACTCCTACAAGTATTGACTCGGGAAACCCATTTCAAATCTGAAAGCACTGCAAAATAGAATGAAACCATACCTGCTGTTTTGTTATTCAAATTTTATTTTTATTTTTAATATGTATGAGTGTTATACCTGCATAGATATAAATGCACCCATGTATGCAGTGCCCAGGGAAACCAGAAGAGGGCATCAGATCCCCTGGAACTGGAGTTATGGATGATGTTAGCCACCATGTGGGCATTAGCATTCAAACCCCAGTCTTCTGTAAGAGTAGCCAGTGTTCTTAACTGCTAAGCCACTCTCCAGCCCCCCATACATACCATTTCAAAAAGTAAAATCTGTAGAAACATCAAAAGAAATGACAGATAAACGTAACAAGTAAACTCTACAGCCAGGCATTAGGTATTTTCCCTGTCTCACCATGTTTCAAAAGAAAACAAAGAAACAAGCTTGAACATTATCAATTATATCTGTATAATTCAAAATTACTAGGAACAGAATCCATTCACATCAACAGGATTCATTCACACAAACTCACCAATCTAGAGCACATGTCCACCCATATCTATCATCATGTCTTGGTGTTTTGTAATCTTCTTAAAAAGAGAATTGTTTACTGTTTTATTTCATGTGTATGAGTGTTTTGCCTGCATGTATGCGTGTGCACCATATGTGTGCCTAGTGCCTGTAGAGGACAGGAGAAGGCATTGGAACCCTTGAAATTGGAGTGATTGTGAGCCAGCTCTACCTGTGTATAATCTTAGTTTTCAGGAAGGCCCTTTCCATCTTGGTGTTAGAATTCTACTAGGGCATCTGTGCTCATTGGCATGGCTGCTTTTATTTCCTTCCAGTGATGCAGAATGTGAAGAGCCTGGACAAGGCCGGACAGGACAGTCAAAAGAGATATTTGTGCCATCTGGTAATCAACACCTCATCAACTGAGGAGAAAGTTAAATTAGGAAAAATATTTAATATGAGCTCAAACCACACTTTACATCTGACTTCGAAGAATGGGAACTCTTCTGGAATGAGGTCTGAGGCATGTACTATGTGGGAGAATGTGCATCTCCCAAGTGAGCCCAGTGCGACACAGACTCCAGAGAAACTTGATCATCTGAGTGCAGGTGGGCTGTCCTGCAGACACCCTGGGCCTCCTAGTCAGGGTCACAGTGCTGAGAGTCGGGGACAGCATTTTCAGTATTACCAGCATGGTAAAGCCTTTCACAGGAGCACCGCATGGACACGTGAGGTGTTTCCTTTGGGCAATCTCTCCAGTAAGTTTGGGGAGTATGGGAAAGCCTTTGAGGAGTTAGCTCTTACTACCCAAGAGGGAGTTCAGGAAAGGGAGGAGGTCTTTGAATGTAACGTGTGTGGGAAATCATTCTGTGACAAGTGCAACCACACTCAACACTTAAAAACATACATAAAAAAGTGTGATAAATGTACTGATTGTGAGCCAACATTCAATGCAAAACCAGGCCTCATAAATCATCAGAGAATACATGCCTGGGAAAAGCCTTGTGGATGTAATGAAGATGAGATACATGTTTGTCAGACACCAAAACAAAGTGTTAATCAGAGTATCTTAAGCAAAGAGAGTAACTGTGAGAAAAGTTTTTGCCCAAACTCAAATTTCAGTGCGCCCCAGAAAACTCACACACGTGAGAAACATGAATGCAAGACAGCTCCAAAAATCTCTAACAAGAAGTCTAATGTTCATCAACCTCGAAGACGAAACAGATGTGGGAAAACCTACGAGTGTAAGGTATGTGGAAAACCCTTTAAACACACACAAAACCTCTATTTACACTACAGAACTCACACTGGTGAGAAACCCTATGAATGTAAAGAATGTAAGAAATTTTTCAGTGTGAAGTCAAATCTCAGTGTACATCAAAGAACTCACACAAATGAAAAACCCCATGAGTGTAACGTGTGTGGAAATGCCTTTAAACGGAGGTGTGACCTAACTATACACCAGAGAGTTCACACAGGTGAGAAACCATACGAATGTAAAGAATGTAGGAAAACTTTCAGTATAAAGTCAGGGCTCATTGTACATCAGAGAATTCACACAGGTGAAAAGCCCTATGAGTGTAACGTATGCGGAAAACGTTTCAACCAGAAGTCCAATCTCTCCACACATGAGAGAATTCATACAGGTGAGAAACCATTTGAATGTAAAGAATGTGGGAAATCATTTAGTGTCAAGTCATATCTCACTATACATCAGAAAACGCACTTAGGTGAGAAACCCTGTGAGTGAAATCTGGATCAGTCCTCTGCCAGAAGTCAAGCCTTGGCAAACATCAGAGAGCTCACAAAGGTGAGGAACCTTCCGAATGTAAGGACTGTAGAAAACTCAAGTCTTTGTCTTTTCTCCACGTGCATCAGAATTGAGAGGTGAAAAGCTCCTATTTGTGTAAAGGATACAGGAAATCTTTCCATTTTAAGTCATGTCTCCGAGTTCATTAGTAAACTCAGACAAGAAACCCTGTCAGTGTAAGGTGTGTTCAAACGCTATCTGCCATTGGAGAAGTCACACAGGCAAGAAACCCTTTGAGTGTAATGTATGGAAAAACTGTCAGAAATCAGTTTTCAGCACACATTGGAGAATTCACAATGGTGAGAAGCCCTAGGAGTGCAGTTATATGAAAAGCCCCTTTAATCAGAAGTACCACCTCTGTGACCTTCAGAGAACTCACAGAGGTTTGAAAAATGCAGGAAAACGTTTCAGACATGTGCATCAGAGAAGTTTGAGTTTGAGAAGTACTTGTCAGTGTCATCTTTGTGGAACTGTCACCTGCCACATAACCCTATACACATCAAAGAGGTACTGTGAGTGTAAGGACTGTAGGGAAATTTTCCAAGAAAGGTTACATCCAAAAGTAGAAAGGCAGCCTGACGTGGTAGCACATGCCTTTAGTCCCAGCACTCAGGAGGCAGAGGCAGGCAGGTCTCTGTAGATTGAGGCCAGCCTTGTCTACATATAGAGTGCCAGGCCAACTTGGGCTACAGGGAGACCCTGTCTCAAAAAGACAAAAAAGTGGAAAAGCATCAGTGTGATGGTGCACCTGTAATCCCAGAACTCGGGAAGCAAAGGCAGAGGCAGGTGGATCTCTGTAAGTTCTGGTATATATAGGGAGTTCCAAACCAGCCAGGGCCACATAGTGAGACTCTTTTTTTAAAAAACAACAACAACAACAAAAAACAAGCTTTGTGAACAGAAAGGGAGGTCTCAAGAGAAGATGCAACGCACTGCACATCAAATCACACATACAGCTAAGTAACTGAGTGCAACATATGCGGAAAACCTTTTCCCAGATGTCAGACCTCAGCAATCATTAGGTAATCACACAAGTGGGTATCTCTGTGAATGTGGAAAAAAATTTCATCTGTAAGTCATCCTTTACTGCATACCAAAGCTGACACATGAGATAAGCCATATCAGTTCATGTGCAAAACTTTTTATGAAACACCCATGTTTCTCATTTCGTCCATCAGAGAACCACACAGACGAGGAACCCTGTGAATGTAAAGACTGAAAGACTTCTGTGAATTTAGAGTGTAAGAACTATTTCATATTCTTGGTGTATGTGTAAGAACTCACATAAGTAAATATACTCCCACATATGTGAGTTTAACAAGCAGAGAAACACAAAGTCAAACGTGTGCACATCCGAAATCCCCCACATCTGAGAAACCATAAGAGTGTAATATACATGGACACACCTTTTACCAAATGGAAATGCCCTGGAGAGCTCACAGGCTAGAATTGCATAAGCATAATACATGTAGACAACCCTCTTGTACGATGTTGACCTCCACATCAGAGAATTCATATGAGAGGAATGCTGGTGGTTATGTGTATGGAGAAGCCTTGTATCGGAAGACCTCGGCAGCCATTTGCATTGACACAGAGGAGACATCCTAAGTGGTTATGAATATGGAAAACATTAGCGTGAGAAGTCATGAAGCAGACTCCATCTTCTCACAAAAGTGAGAAGGCCTATAAGCAGGGCCTTTGTTTGCTCCCTAAAATATGCTTTCTTGCTCTATGACTTACAGCCTGTATTGTGCAGTGAGTCATTTGAGAGGCCATACCTGAGCTCTGTAAGAATTTTAATACTTGTGATGGTTCACTTCTCACCTACCTCATCCCCTAAACCTTGCAATATGTTATCCCCAGACTTTCACATGTAGCCTAAAGTGCAGGTAAGATTATCTTGGGGGAGGGGCATATATAGAACAACAGTGATTGAAGGATATTCTTATTGGAGAGAACAGAGGTCTTACCTGTGAATCTCTTTGTATGAGTGACAACATTCTATGTGAGCTGACCACAATGCAAAGCCATTGTAAACCCATTTTAAAACGTGTTCAAACAAGGCCCTCTATGTTAGGAAATTCACTCGGGAGAGGGGCCTTTGTTACTGCCTTTCTATTATCAAGCCATTTTGTGGAGGAAAAGAAATTATGGGGAATTCCAATAAATCCTAAATGTCTTACCTGGCACCAACACTGCATTATGAAATCTTTCCACAAGACGTTGAAATTTATGTGTAGCAGAAATCATAAAGGTAGATTGTCACAGTTTCCTAGTGTTAATTATATGAAAAATATTTTTGAATATCCGTATGCCAGAAGAGAAATCTGTACAATGCTGCCTGATGTGGTTTGGTCTACATTTGGGGACATCTGTGGTTGTTAGAGCTGAAGTTTAAGAGTTCCTGCTGGCACTGGTGGATACCAGGGATGCAGCAGAGCTGCCAAAAGGGTGCTGTGTGTCTTTTCCTCGGGTGACATGAACAGATGTCTACTCACCCCAGACAGGGCACAGAGAAACAGTTCTATCAAAGTCTGACTTGAAAACTCCCATGAGTTTATTGGTGTTTCAGGAGTACAGGTGAGTATACTTACAGAAATGTGCATGGTTCGAATGCGGCTGCATCACCAAAAAGCTCACCCCTGCGTGGGCAATGACTCATGGAAAGTGAAACATTTGCAGGCAGCTCAGGAGGTCAATTAACAGATCAGAGTGTCTTTTCCAACAGTCCTTACCATCTTTATAAACTTGGAGAGGGAAGGGCCTTGTGAATCTTGTAAGTTTCGGGGACTTCCTGAGCCTTATAGGTTTATTTCCTGATCTTAATGAGCCTTTCTCTAGGATCAAAATGCTTCAGTTGAGAGGATATTGTTGCACAACCAGACACAACATACCATGATGTTATGTAAGGTTTGTGTGTAAGATTTTATCATGTTCGCAGATGTTTTCTGCACGCAGAGGTATGCAGTAAATACTGCACTTACTGTAATATATATTGTATTCTAGTCTGTTTACATCTTGCATCAAGTGGTTTGTATTTTCTTACTGAGTCTTACATATCTAAAGGTGTATGGTGGTTGTCACCAACTAAGTGTTTTTCTAACATGGTGATATCTTAAAGTGATCCAGTGTTTGTAAAAGAAAAAAAATCTGGATATAAAAACATGAATAAAGATATTTTCACAGCAGTCTACGGCCTGATTTAGACATTTGGGAACAGTGCTACTCAATCTCCCTCCTGCTCAGAGATGTAGTCTTGGAGGAATAGTTTCCTTTTCCTCTTTCTCCTGTCTTAAGGCATCAACTGTGCTGTGTAACTGAGGAATATGTGTAGTTGCGTAAAAGGAATAGAACCTCCCTCAACCTTCAACCTGCATTGCCAGATTAAATACTTCAGATGTTACCTAGGATTGATAAACATTGTATCATCTAAACATGATACTGAAAATTGCCATTTACAAGTATATTCTAAAAGTTGGAAGGCTGCAACACAGTGTCGTTTGACTGCACAACACCATCAGTACTTTTCAGACTGTTGGTTTGGGTTTGATCCGACTTCTGCATACTCTGGGATTTATCTCAGCTGTGCTTATAATTATCTCAGATCAGCCTTTCCTCTGGTGCTTTGTTTTTAAAGCTAAGCCCATGAACCAGCTCTGTTGGCACACTAGGGGGGTTTCATAGCATCTCTTCTAATGCTCCCAGAAGACAGATGGAGACTTGGAGGAAGCAGGTGCTCTGTTGCACATTGATCTTTGCGGTCATGGTGCCTGACTGATGATTGTGTCCCCTGCTGTGATTCCTGTGGTTGATGCATGCAGAGTTGTACAGCCAGTGTGATGACGGGGAGTGCAGTGGGCTATCTTCAGTCATCCACGGCGTTTATAGAAAGCATTAGGTTCCTGTTGGCAAATAAGCAACGTCCATGCACTTACTGGCTCAAATAATAAGCTTTTTGAGCATGGTGCTGTACCTCTATGGTCCCAGGATTTGGGAGGCTGAGATAAGATAGCACATTTGAGGCCAACATAGGCTACATAGGGAGTCAGGAGATCCACATGCCCTGGCTCGCTCCCCTCCCCCCATCATTACAGGAAAATCAGACATCGCTTTGCATCGTCCCCTAAAAGCAGCCCTTCTGCCCCTGGTGATACCTTATTGGCAACCCCCAGATTACAATCATAGACAAATTCAAAATGCACAAATATAAGGGGAATTGGTTATGTGGTAAAGAAACACAAAACATGAACACATTATAAATATTCCAGAGAATAGTTGATTATAGGCCAAAAAGCTATTTCAGAAAGAGAACAAAACTTATGCTTACATAAAGTTAGGGCAATGTCAGTGTGATAAAACTTAACTGTGTGCCCTACAGCATACACAGTGAAACAGGATGAAAGGAATCTTCAAAGCCAACATTAGTCACATTTTGTGTTGCTGTGACAAAACACTTGAGAAAATCCAACATAGAAGGAAATGCTGCCTTCACCTTTCAGGCAGGTGAAGTCCATGTCTGGTTGTCTCCCTTGCTTTTATACCTGGCATGCTCACTATCGGCCATGGCAGAGACATGCTTTTTTATCTCCTGGCAGACAGAAGTCAGACAGGGATAAGTGGAGTAAGGCACATCCATCCCAGGTCACCATGGTGCTCACGCTTCTTCCAAGTGGGTTCTGCCTTCCGTTCCAGTTACCAGTTATCTTCACATTCTTTTTTTTAATTTTTTAAAAAATTCTTTTAGAAGCATTTCATTACAGCTTTAACATACTCAATAACAGTTTCCAGAACAAAGATACATCTCTCTCAAAAGTGGTTATAAAATTTTTAGGTTCACTGTTGAATTAATACAGTTATATAATATTGAACTCAGTATAAGCCCAGTAAGACATAAAATTGAATGAGTTTTTAACCTTTAAAAAAAGATCTCCACTAAGCCGGGAGTGGTGGCGCACGCCTGTAGTCCCAGTACTCGGGAGGCAGAGGCAGGCGGATCTTGTGAGTTCAAGGCCAGCCTGGTCTACATAGTGAGTTCCAGATCATCTGGGGCTACAGGGAGACCCTGCTTCAAAAAGAAAAAAAAAAAAAAAAAAAATCACCATTTCATTTTAAAATATACTCTTTCTTACAGAAAGACTCATTGTTTTTGCTAATAACACTGAGATGTTGGCGCATGTGTCTCTAATCTGTATGTATCTGATTATTACTAGTCATGGTTGACTGCACTTAGATCCTTGACACCTGTGTATGTCTATAAAGTCATCGGGTAGATTTCAATGGTAATGTTTATCACCTCTACTAATTAACATGATTTAAATTTTTATGCTTCCTCAAATATAATTCATTTTTTAAAATTTGTTGATCTTTGTGTGTGTGTATATATCACACAGAACATCGCAAACCATCTTATTCAACTATACACCCACTTCCCAGATGGCACCCTCCCATAACCTCCCTTCCCCCACTTACACTCTGTTATCCCTGCTATTCTCTGCTGTGTTGTCAGCACCCCAGCTGTTCCCCACTACTTGTCCACCTGGTGAATCTAGTCAGCCTATCTAGAGGTCTTTGTTTTAGGAAGGTCAGCTGTTCCTCATCTAGCAGCAATCAGTTGTCCATATTCCTTTAGATAAGATTGGGGTCAGCTGTTCATTTTCCCAGTTCTATGCTGAGTTACTGCCTGGGAGTCTTTTGGGCCACCCTGGCCAACAACTCAAAGGAAGGTATCTCCTGTCTGGCATTGTTTCTTG